TTGTTGAAATTCGGAGTTTTAATTAGGTAAAGCACTGGAATTGACTCTGTTTATGTAGGTTCTGATGACTGTATTGTTGTCTGAAGATGAATGGCTCGCCAATTGATCCTTTTGTTGGTGTTTTGACTGTGTCAGTGTTTATGCATGTGTTCTGGGGGCTTGCCTTGCAGAAAGTTTTTTGCTTTACACAAATTTGATTTTACAGGATTTCAAATCTGCTTTTTTGGGATGCATCAATGTTGCAATCAAAATCTAGGGCAAGTTCAAGAAGTAAGGTGCAAAATCCTTTTTCCCACCTCCCTATCATAACCACATTACTCTGAGATTGTGGGATTGTTAAGGGCTTATTTTATGTTTCCTTACATTGCCTTTTCTTTCTGGCACCAAACATTCAGCATGGCTTTTCACTTATACAATAATAAATCTCTAGTTCCTCTTGATTACTGAGAAAATGATGTAGAAAAGAAGTAAAAGCATAACAAAAGCTCATCAAACTAACCAAGGTTGTTGCAGTTCTCAAGATTAGTTTATTCTGGACTCATGGGGTTCAACCTGAAAGTTCTGGGTTTAAGAAAATTAACTTTAGTTCTATTAAACATGCAGCAACTTGTCAAATCATAAGAAAGCTTAATATGTCTAAAACATAGCACTGTAGATTATTTCATTACATGGTTGATTGAAATATAATCTTATTAAAGGGTCGCAGAGGGAATCACCTACATATTATACTGTGTGTAGTGCATGACAGAGACTGTTGTTGCATTATCAGGTAAGCCTGTAATATTTTGTTTCTTATTTGATTTTCTTTGTATTTTTAGACCCAATTGAATTAATTTGACATTTACTCAACTGCCCTTCAAACATATATATATCTGTATAATTACACATACACACATAAATGCCCTTATATTTGTCTAAATCTAGAGTTTCACCCATTTTACTCCTTTGTTTTTTCTTTTTATTTTATGAACCTTTTGGATGATAACATTTGTGCTGATATGGTTTTCCCCTAAAAATGCCATGACTTTCCTTCCTTCTTTCCCGCCCCCCCCCACTCTAGTATATTATATTTTGTCTTCTAACTTGATAATAATGTTTCTTAGTTTTGTAGGGGTTATTTTAGTCTTACCAAATTGCTGAGATGTCCAATAATCCCCAGTTTTCTGGTGTGCAGGTAGGCCATTATGAAAAAAAGAAAGTTCCTATTATTATAATATAAGCTCCTTTGATTCAAAATATGACTATTTTCCTCTTAATCTTTGACGATATAATTGTTAACAAGTTACACAAGTGCTTGACATGTTGATTGTTTAATTTTTTTTAATTTTTAATAGCTTTAGCATGAAGTTATTTGATCTAAATTTTTACTAACAAAGTTATTTGCAGAAGTTCAAATTCTGATGAAAAATAGTGAACATTCACCATTGCTTAGAATAGAACTTTCAATAATTAAACAGCAATAACAAGAATGAAGTTTCATTCAATTCAAAATACACACCATACATAGAGACTAACTCTCATATAGAGAGAGACTATATAAAAATTTAGGAAACAATTTTATTGAAACAAAGTCATATACAGCTACCAACATGAGTTGGGATAAACTGACAAGCATCTAAACCAACAGAAATGTTAAAGCCATAAATCATATTTCAGCTCGCTTCTAATCCAGTAGAACTTCTTGCAACACACTTACTGATACTTAAGTAAAGATAACAGTATTTAAGAAACATCCAATCATATTTAGCTGAGATGCTAGCCACCATGCGTACGTCCTAGGTTACAATAAGGACGAAAAGTCTGCCGTCGCCGGGACTGAGTAAATGCTAGACCAGATCGTCCAAGAGGAGAATGCACAGCAGGCACCGAGAGATCATAACTACCATACCTGTTATGGGCAATACCCAATTATAACCCCAAATACACTGACGGATGACCCCTAGGCTAGCTTTAGTTTCTTTCTCTCCTCCCACTTGTAAATGGATGACCTCTTGACTAGCTTTAGTTTCTTTCTCCTCTCCCAGTTGAAAACAAACTTACCTCTCCAATTAACCATTCCCTGTGCCGCTGCCCAACCTCCAAACTCCTCTGTAAATTTCTGCTTCCACAAGTCATTATTGGAAGCCAAATATCGCATCTCAGTGCAAACACACCCCATTCTAGCAATATCCACACCTGAGAGTGACTCAAAAACCTTGAGCTTCAATTCAGTTGGGAGACGCCTCAAGCATGCTGGAGGATCAAGGCCAGTCCTTTCACAAAGATCGATCAATAATGGCAATGCAAGCCCATCCTTCACAATTCTCCAAAAATTGAAAACTTCATTTTCCGGATAGGATTTCAAAGAACCATCCTCATCCATCTTATCATTCTTCTCACAATTTGCCCATACAGAGTCTAAAGTTGGTGCAAACCTACCCTCATCTAAGCACACCCTATACGAGGAACCCCCTTTGGCCAAAGAAGCATGAACATTGATGAAATGGCCTAGAATTTGAAACTTCATAACAACATAATCAGTCATATTAGAAACAGAATTGCTATTACTCAAAAGTTCAGGCCGGCTATACCTGAGGGAAACCGTAAAAGATGAGGAGGGCCAATCTTCTGGTAGATGAAACCCATCAATTGGCCTCCTGGAGACTGAATCAATACCGATAAAACCAGACTCCAATAAAACTGCGTGAACCGCTATCACTAAGAGCTTGTGATCACTGCCATCATTGCCTAACTCCTCTCTCAACACCCTCCTCAAGAAATGCGGCTCAGAGAATTTCTTAACACCAGAACCACTATCAATCTCCATGGTTTCTGCTTCCTCAAGCGTACCATGTCCAGTTTCCATGGTTTCTTGGAACCCTCCTGGCCCCTGTGTGTTTGAAAATTCTTTACTTTGTTCTTGTACGGACAAATCCTGTAGTGGGGTTTGTCGATTTGAGCAATTCATGCACTGCATATGAGTTCCTTGAGAAACTTGCCTTTGATTCGATCCAATATTCTGTATCTGAGGCAATACTGGAACTGCAGTTTCCTGATTAGGGCAATTAATCCCCAAATTCGTAGTTTCCCCCAAATTTTCAGGTTGATTTGACATGGGTTCTTGAATTTGAGTCCCTGGAATTGAGCGTTCTCGACTGGTGCAGGGTTCGTGCATCTGACGCGACCCTTGAACTAAGGCTTCGGGATTAGGTGAAAAAGCATTGGGGTTGAGGGAAAAGTAGACGAGGTCACCAGCGGTAACACCAAGGGACTCAAGCAACGCGTCGGACGACGACGGGAAAAATTCGTCCCTAGAGTTGAGGGAGAAACGGAGTGAAGACGGCGAAGGAGGGGGAGGGGCAAGCGAGAGGGAAAGGGTTTGTTGAAGCTGATGGAGAGTGTATGGAGTGTGCAGTTGGATTCTTAGTGTTTGTTTCGATTCAAGACATCTCAATCTCAGCTTCATTCTCTCCTGATGTGATGATATGCCGCTGGCTACGATGCTCGGAAAAATATGGAAGATTTTGCGGTTTGTCGTAGAGAGAGACCAAAGCAGAAGAATGTACGGACTCAGCGAAATTAGTACTGATTTGCACCGCCGGTTAGATTTTAGGATAGTTTGTTTCCTTGCCCTAAATTTCATTATATTCTCAATGTAATCCACCTATTATTATATTTCTCAAATTATCTTTTTCAATTTGACCCCCTCGTGTTTCATGTTTGGGAAATGAGCCAAAATTCATTATTGAAAAATGATATAAAGACAATTTTTTATATTATATTTTGATATAATTTTATATGTTATTTAAATAATTAATTATTTTTATTTATTTTAAACATATGATATTATATATATCTATTTATTTAATGATATAGGAAAATTATATACAAAAATTATCTTTATATTACTTTCCTTCATTATTTAATCATAATTGTTCATTACTTTTTATCTTCCAACTAATAATGTCTCAAGTTTAGGATGGATAGATACTTAGGCTCTAATTGGTCTAGTTATTCTTAAGAGTTAATGGTTGATATTAGTTTAAGATTAGTCTATAGTTAATGTATTCAAACATCTTAATCAAAGTTGTTAAAAGGAAAAAAAACTATAAATTGATAAAATCAACCAAACCAAACACGACTTAAGCCCAATAACAATAATTCTTGATTGGATTCATTTGTCAAAATCAATTATAGAGTGATAATCTTAGGGTAACATCATTTTTGAGATCTTCTTTGTTTGAAAGGAGAGATTAGACTAGTTCTATCTTATCTATTTAATCGTTTGACTCAAACAATAATATTGTTCATTTTAATTAGGGTTCATTCTTTTCTAAAATAATATAATGCAGGTAATTATAATTTTTCTTTTTTATTACCTAAAAATATATCAAAATTAATTAAAAATAATTTTTTTGAACAATTTTACAAGAGACCATATTCCAACTATTGTCGGAGGGAAAAGAGATACACTTAAATGTGATTTGACACCATTTGTCCAAAGGTCAAGTGCAAAATTAATTAAAAGATTAATTAAAATTTATATAAATTTGTATTTTTACATAAACTTATATTTAAAGTACTGTCAAACGAAACCTAACTGCAACCTTTTTGTAACTTCAGGTGTTGATTGCACTTACTTTTATAAGTGTTTGAAGTAAGTGCATATGCGCATTTGCAATCCACATGGCAGGCTTCCACCTAAGCGTATCTCTCTCTGAGTCTCGTGCGTTTAAGGGTCCCGTCTCTCTCCTCCCGCCCTTCTAGCAGGTACCTTTAACTCTTCAACTCTGCAACTAAGACGAAGAGAGACAAGGAAATAGTTTCTGCAATTGAAAACAGAAATTCAATATTATTTTCATTTTCTGTGCTGCTCGTAGCGCAAGGTTGTTCTGGTATTTATGTTCTATTGGAATTAAATTATTTTGTAGTTGAATTTCATCCGGAAAGAATTAGGTTGGATGTTGTTACATTCTACATTGAATTGGGGTTTATGGGTTTGTTGAAATTCGGGGTTTTAGGTGAAGCACTGGAATTGACTCCATTTATGTAGGTTCTGATGATTGCATTGTTGTTTGAAGGTGAATGGCTTGCCAATTGATTCTTTTATTGGTGTTTTGACTGTGTCAGTGTTTATGCATGTGTTCTGGGAGCTTGCCTTGCGGAAAGTTTTTTGCTTTACACAAATTTGATTTTACAGCATTTCAAATCTGTTTTTTTGGGTTGCATCAATGTTGCAATCAAAATCTTAGGCAAGCTCAAGAAGTAAAAATGCAAACTCTAATTTCCCACCTCCCTATCATAATCACATTTGACTATAAGATTGTGGGATTGTTAATGGTTTATTTTATGTTTCCTGACATTGCCTTTTCTTTCTGGCACCAAACATTCAGCATGGCTTTTCTGTTATTCAATAGTAAACCTCTAGTTCCCCTTGGTTACTGAGAAAATGATGTAGAAAAGAAGTAAAAGCATAAAAAACTCACAAATCTAATGAAGGTTGTTGCGGTTAGCGGAATTAGTTTATTCTGGACTCATGGGGTTCAGCCTGACAAATTCTGGGATTTAAGAAAATTAACTTTAGTTTATTAAACATGCAGCAACTAGTCAAATCATAAGATAGCTTAATGTCTAAAACATAGCACTGTAGATTATTTAATTGCATGGTTGATTGAAATAATCTTATTCAAGGGTTGTTGCAGAGGGAATCAGCTGCATATTATACTGTGTGTAGTGCATGACAGAGACTGTTGTTGCATTATCTGGTAAGCCTGTAATATTTTGTTTCTTATTTGATTTTCTTTGTATTTTTAGACCCAATTGAATTTATATAACATTTACTCAAGTGGCCTTCAAACACATATATCTGTATAATTTTGCACATACACACATAAATGCCCTTATATTTATCTCTATCTATAGAGTTTCACCTATTTCACTCTGTTTTTCCTTTTAAATTTATGAACCTTTTAGATAATGGCATATGTGCTGATATGGTTTTCCCCTAAAAATGCTATGACTTTCCTTCCTTCTTCCCCACCCCCTCAACTCTAGTATGTTATATTTTGTCTTCTAACTTGATAATCATGTTTCTTAGTTTTGGAGGGGTTATTTGAGCCTTACCAAATAGTTGAGATGCCCAACAACCCCCAATTTTCTGGTGTACCGGTAGGCCATTATAAAAAACAAGTTCATATTATCCTAATATATGCTCATTTGATTCAAAATATGAGTATTTTCCTCTTAATCTTGAAGATATAATTGCTAACAAGTTACTCAAGTGCTTGACATGTTGGTTGTTTAATTATTATTATTATTTGGTTTTAATTAGCCCCCTCTGCCTCCTATGGTTGACTCTATAGATCCTACTCAAAGTTAGGTTATTCTGCAGGCAAAGAAGGAAAGAGAGAGAGAAGAAAGAGAGAGGAGGAAAGCTACGCATGGAAGGGGAAAAGCAAAGGGGCATGAAAGAAAAAAGGATGAACACATTAAGGACGGAGGAAATGATGATATGGCTGGAATTGATAATTCCAATGAGAATAAGAGATCAGGAAAAGATGATAATAGAAAACATCAGAAGCAACATAAAAGTTATACAGATGGTTTGAATGTGAGAAAGACAGAACTAAGTATTCTCGCAGACATAGCTGTGGCAGCAAAAAATCAAAATGGGTATGCTCTTTTCTTTTTATTGGAATGTTTTAAGTGAATGTAAAATTGGTTTCTAAGTTTATAACAGTTACGTAATGGCAATTTGCACCATGCATCCACACCTGAATCTGATAGTGAGACCAGGCATAAGAGGCATAGGAGAGCGTGTTGGAATGGTTCTCATAGAAGTGCTGATCATGAGGAGCTTGAAGATGGGGAGTTTGGTGAGGAGAGGGAAAGTCGTTAGTTATCTCTTCCTATTCATTTCTTGTTCCTTTTTTGCTCCTATCATAATTCTTGTATTGGGATGTCGATCATATTGTAATTGCAGCAATGTTGTATTAGTGTCATAGTTGTTTTCTGGTTTATAAGCTTGATCAGGTAGCAATTTTATGCTTTAAGATTACTTTTACATTTCTCCCATAAATGCTGAAAACTTTGTTGTTATAAAATGATCTTTAACTTGCTACCTGATAATAAAATTTAGTTATGGACAGTTGTGCACTTTATTTTTTTATTTTTTTAACTTCTCCCATAATAAGCTTGATCATTTTTTTATTTTATTTTTTATTTTTTATCATCATCTATAATTTCCTTCAAATTGTCATTCATGGTCATGGACAGTTGTGCACTTTATTCATCTCTTGCTATCTGAAATACAGGGAACATAAAACAAAAAAACTTGTGCAGGTTTATATACTTCCCATTAGTTGCCATTTTCTCTTTTCTATTATCAACAAGCCTTTCACTTCTATGCCATGGTTAACTTTACAATGGTAAGCATGAATTTACAACTACTCAGTTGTTGATGACTGGTGGTGTTGAACTTGACTCAAGGAGTTAAGAGTGCTTAGTTCTTTTTGAAAACCTAGAACTGTAGTGGTTATCAGACCCATGTCAAAGGCTTGCTTGTTCAAGCCTGTGCCATGGATTGCTGGAAATTCTATAAAAGTTCCTCCAGGTCATTTTTTTTCTTGAACTGTGTATCTATTTTATTATAAGAGTAGGTAAACTATTTCTTCAACAATCTCACCCATGATAGAATCCACTATGTCTATGCCTATATCCCTCTGAAGTTGCTGGGAATAATTCCATTCAGCAAATGTGCTAGAGATAAGATCTCTGAAGTTTTTCCTCCACAAGTCATTGTGCTTTTCAATCCCTTTCAGACCCATAAACATTTCGTTGCAGTTTTGCCTCTTTTTCCTAACTTGGATTTGGTTTTCTGTGGATTCATCAATGCAATCAAATAGAAGCTTCCCTAGCTTTAACTGCTCCTTGGTTGTCACATTGAGTTCTGTAAATCCAAATTTGCTGTGTGGTTTTACTTGCAACTCTGACAGAAAGATGAGACAAAAATAAAAAAAAATAAAAAACAAGTTTGCTTTAGTTTTTCTAAGCATCGTTCAAGCTTGATGGGTCTTCTCTTGTGTGGGTGTGATGCACTGCCTAATTGCAATAAATTGGTCATGGGAAATGCACTTAATCTTCTGCTTTTATTATTATTATTATTATTATTATTATATAAACAGATTACAAAAAAAAAAAAAAGAAAGAAAGGAAAGTAAAGAACTCTTGAACCTTTCCTGTTTGACACTTCATTTGGATGCTTCTCTTTCATGCATTCTCTCTGGTAGTGTGTATCTGTAGCTGTCTGTAATCCCTTTGAGTAACTGAGCTTTAACTTTTGCTGCATTTATTCAACAGAACTAGTAGATCAAACAAGTGACTAGGAAAATTTAGTGTACTAAAGTTCTTTCATATATTGAATAATTTTTATCTTTGAACTGAGCATGGTTGTTTGCTATTTGTCGAGATAACAGAAACATATGTTGGCAATTACATGATCATAATGTATAGATGTTTATGTACCTGTTGTTGTTTCATATTGTCAAGAAATGAAGGTTGACAACTTCTGCTTGAGAACCAATGTGGATATCTTGGAGGCAGAGATTCCTCTTCAAGGCTGCATTGCTGAGAGATGCTAAACGAAGTTAGTACCTGTCCTGCAGTAAATCCTTTTATAATTTCAGCTGTCTGAAATTTATCCTTCTGGGCTTTACTACAATATGGAAGGCAAGGCTCCTGGCTTGGATTTGCAGAAATGAGCTTGAACAGAACTAGCTTTATTATCCTTGTAGAGCGCGAAAACAGTTCGCGACTGCCTGGTTTCTCCTGGTTCTTGAACAAATTGACGGGGCAACAACCACCTCCAACATTAGATTTCAAGCATTTCACTGTATGCCCTTTTTCTGAAAGGTAATCGTCTAATGTAAAAGGTTCTTGTTGTTCTTGGAGATGCTCCTTGAGCTGCTTTGCTAGTGCTTTCCGAGGTGCTGATGCCATCCGAACCTGCAAAATGGGGGAGAAAGTTTTGGAGAGGATGAATGAGCTGCAGATTTAATGATTGGAACAGATAGAATGTTTCTCTTTGCTGGACTATTATATATAAACCAAAAATATAAAGAAGTGAGGACTAGGGAGCGGGCTTCTTCTTTGTGGGGTTTGTTGAAGTAAAAGGCAAGGCAATCTTTGATGGATTTGGAACGAGAGGAATTTTTAAACCCTGCAATCTTGACGAGCCAAAATAAAGGGCTTATTAAGGGCATGCTTCTTTTAATATTCTGAAGTTTGAGACAAGGATATCTTGTTGATTGGTGACAGCTAAAAGCTATCAACCTCTCACATTTTATGGTATAACATAATTCAGTGGATAGAATTTGTTCTTGTATTATCAATGAGGCCTAACAACGATCTAAGGGATTGGTTTCTTGGTAAGATTTTGTCCCTTTTTGTTGATTAAGATTCGATTGTTGATCAAGGTTGGATTATTGAACTTCTCGGCATATTTTTAAGTTCGGGCATGAGTAATTAGTCTTTTGACCCTACGTAGAGGTGGCAAAATCTAGGTATGAACTGATTTTTTTTTTTTTAATTTTCGTATATCTTCACATTTGAGCTTAAGTCCTCATAAGTCAACACATGATATGATTTTAAAATTTTGAAACAAATCATGTCCTTGACAATATATAGAAAATCAATGGGGGTAAGAAAGAAAAAGTACTGAGTCCATAATTTGGTAAATTAAGGGATTGATTGAGATTAAAAATACCAAGTCCTCACTCTCGCCAAACAAAAAGAATAAAAAAATGGGAAGAGACAATTTACTCTACAAAGAGAGAGAGAGAAAAAAAGAAAATAATTAATAAACATTTGATTCAATATGTTTTTTTATATCGATCATAGTTTAATTATTAAAATGTAATATAAATACAATTGATTCAATTAATTTTTACATCATATATATATGATTGTATCTTAAGTTTGCCTATTATTATTTTTTAATAAACATATAGTATGTTAAATTAAAATGTGTATCTATTAATATTCAAAAAAAAAAATCTTATTCAATTTTAACCAAATTTTTACTAACACATAAAAAAACGTTGTGCCCTTAGCATCTTAACTGGTAAAAACAAAATCTCAAGTTTAAACTTGATAAGAAGAAATTTGAGAAGAGTGAGGATTGATTTGATTTGTATAATTCACACCATGGCATAAATATATGTAAAAAAAATTACTAAAATGTCAAATTAATAATAGCCCTCTTTAATAAAAGTTTTGTAGTTGTTAAGGGAAATATTGTTTGGCAAGTCTCAAGAAATGTGACCGTTTTGTTTACAACTTTATCTTCGTACAGTTTTGATTTTTGGACCGACCTTAATGAGGGAGTTTTAAATGTGCATTTCTAACGTTAACTCGGTGAATTTTAAATTTTTAAATTTAAATTTTTGTTTTAATATTAATCTTAAAAGTTACACTTAAACCTGACCCGTAGTACAATATTTACTTGCAAGCAGATCTAACTTTTGAATTAATGTTTCCTGTTTTCATCTTTTTTCTCTTTTCTTTTTCCTTTTTTTTTTTTTTATGAACTTACATAAATTTTAAAACAATACAAAATTATGTATTTATTATAACCGTCATGTGGGTAGGTCCCAGCATCTATACTTATTTTCTTAATTTTAGTATCTATATTTTGAGAGAAGTAGGTGGAGTGCAGAGCAATCAAGGAAGCATCTTTAAAAATTTTGATGCTTTTCGACAATTAAATCAGATTTCAAATTTTTTTTTGGGATAGATGCAACGGTGGGTTGGTTAGAATTTGGCTCAATTAATAAAGAGTGATAAAACAAGTTAGGCCCATTTAGAATGTCAGTTTTAAAAGTGAAACTTTTGCTAGAGCTTATAGATTGGACAATTGATAAGTAGATATGCAATTAAATGGTTTAAAGGTTAAGATGCCCATATCCCTTGATACTCAGGCACCAATGCAATTAATGGACTTAAAATAGATAACCTTCACTAGATGAAATGTACATAAGTTGTCTAAATATTAATGCATATCCAAAATCTTACATCATGACATGTAACAAACTCCCAACTGCATTATGTAATGAGCACAGTTGCCCTTGCAAGAAGAAACTTGTGAACTGAAGATTAAAAAGTTAGATGGATAGTGAACTAACCTAACCATAAATTTCCAACTGTATTATGTAATGGCCATAGAAGCTTCTGTCATTGAATTATGTCATCCCTTTATTCGTTCTTAGTTTACTCATTTTTTAACATTCAATTCAAGCCATCCACCCAAGCCCCAATATACCAATTAATATTAATGGTCAGAAGTAAGGATGGGAATTGCTATCGATCTCCATGGAGCTCGCGGAGATCTACGTCACGAGGACAAGAAGGAGAGGAATATTTTTTCTCACAGGGCAAGGATATGAGGCATTTTTCTCTTATGAAATTTCGTGAAAAATTTTTTTTGTCCGTAGGGCCCATGGGGATCCCCATCCCTTTTGACATAGATCTAGCAAATACATTTCAACTCAATTAATATTAATGGTAAGAAGTAGGGATGGGGATCCCCATCCCCCGTGAAATTTTTTCCTTCTGACATAGATCTAGCAAATACTCTCTTCTTTTCTCTCTCTCTCTCTCTCTCTTTTTTTTTTTTAATTGAGTTGACTATCTAAATAAGTGTTAATTGTTATATATCAAAATTTGTGTGCGTACTATCATTTGAATACACCTATATATCTATATATATAAACTCTACATTTCAAGGCATTTTAGATAGGTTTTGTGTTATATATGGTTCCCTTGAAACCCTCCCTTCCTCATCTAATTTTGAACATGAGAACATTGAAATGTACTCCTGACCAAGTAGGTTTTGAATTCATCATTTAAAGGAAAAAATTTTAATTTTTTTAAATATACAAGTTCAATATGAGGATTGTTCATAAAATCACTCAAAAAAAAAAAAAAGTAGTTTGATACATGTGAGTTAATTCAGAATCATCCAACAGTTAAAACAAAAGGTGTAAGCATCTTATTATATTTTCATTCATTGCTTAAGGAATCTAATTAACTCCGTACTTAAGTACTCATTCCGAAGACACAAGAGAGAGATAAACACAATCATTTTTGAGAGACCCCATGGCCATTATGGCACGGCATAACAGTATAACATGGTTGTTCCCAATCAACATGTTTAAGTCATCATCGTATTGCGCCACATGCTTGTTCCCCAAACATGTTGCATCTCATCATATATATATGCTTCCTTTTTTCTTTTTCTTTTTTTTATACTTTATAATTGTATTACAATTGGCCTACGAAAATTATGATGTGTAATTATTCATTTTAAGGGTCCATTTATGGGTATCTTTTCCCTTTTTAGAGAATTTTTTTTAATTTTTAATTCATTTCATTTTCTATGTTCACTCTTTTTTTTTTTTCTTTTTTTTTTTTTAAAAAAATAAAATTATTATTA